TGGTTTGAAAACTGCAAATAGACTTTGTCAATGATATGTAAATGTATCCTTATGGCAAATAAAGATTGATTGATTGATTGATTGATTGATTGTAGCTTCATTTGTGTGCAATTTGAGCCCAGTCGGTTCAGTAGTTTTTGAGATTACCTCATACAAACACACACACACAGACACCACCTCTTCTTTATAATAGTATAGATTTTCAAAAGCTGATCTTGTTTATTTAGTGTTTTCTACAAATAGCCTTACTCATAGCCGCATTAGGTTGTCCATAATAACAATTATAAATGCTAAAAAAAAACATTATTTCTATTTCTTCTCCTTGGTGGTGTTCTATGACTTTCCTATGTTTCCATAGTTTGCAAATCGGCTATTTCAATGATTACTAAGAAATGCAGCACAGTGTTAACTCAGTTATCTTTTAAGTATATCAATTTATCCAGGCTCTCTGGTTTTTTCCATTGTAATATTTACGCCAACCCAAATTTAAAGGGTAAATATTTAACTTCAACCAAGTCAGTAAATGTTTGTAGCAAACTGTTAAATTAGCAAATGTTTACAATTAACATATTATGTTCTTTTCACTTTTAATTGCTGACAGCAGCAGGAGTTTCATAACAATTTTTGTTTCCCATGTTAATCTTATGGAGAAATATGAAACTTTAAAGGGCCCCAGGGCCTCACTCTCTAAGTATTTCTCTAAAAAGAAAGTTTCCTGCACAACTTCACGTTACGCTCATTCCAATGACACCAAAAACATGTCAATCGGTTCAGTAGTTTCGGAGGAGTAATTGTCACAAAAAACCTGCTTGCGTATTAAATAAGTACTAGTGTCCCTGTTGCTCGAATTCGAGCAATTGCTAAGTATTACAGGCGTTATTTTAAAACGAACTTCAACGAAGTCAGCAAATATTTGTAGCAAACTGTTTTATTAGCAAACTTATTGACTGTTGACAATTAACCTATGCTCTTCTTCTCACTTTTGATTTCTGACAACAGCTGGAGTTTCATAACAATTTTTGTTTCCCATGTTAATCTTATTGAGAAATAAGAAAATTTAAATGGCTCCAGGGCCTCACTCTCTCATTATTTCCCTAAAAAGAAAGTTTCCTGCACAACTTCACGCTACGCTCTTTCCAATGACACCAAAAACATGACAATCGGTTCAGTAGTTTCGGAGGAGTAATTGTCAAAAAAAATCTGCTTGCGTATTAAATAAGTACTAGTGTACATGTTGCTCGAAATCGAGCAATTGCAAATAATTACAGGAGTTATTTATAAACAAATAACTTGTTTAAAAACTAATAACAGTCATAATTTCCGATGATTTTAAAAGAGTCAACTAAAAGATTATTAACTTATGGAAATACTCACAATTTATATAACAGTCCTATTCCAGTTTAAAGGGTTAATTTTTAACAATCAAACTGCCCATGGACAAGCTTACAATTTAAGTCAACGTAAAAAGACTGCCAGCTTTTATAAAATTCAAATTCAAATTAATTTATTTCTATTTCTTCTCCTTTCAAATTAAACTGCAACAGAGAAAATATTGGGCCTCTAAGGCAATGCCTGATTAGAGGTTCCTTTAACCTCTATCTAAAAATATTTTGTCAGCAATCCAGAGATAACAAAATTAAACTGAATATTATCAGTCTTTTAGATTGTGCTGGTTTATTATTTTAATACACAACCACTGGTGCACTTGACATTTTCCAAATAAAGTAAAGTAAAGTAAAGTACCGTACCCAAGTTATTTAGCCAATTTGTAGACAATGAGGTATAGGCCACTTTAAACTCTACACGACAGAGTTAGGCAAAAACTGGCAGAACTCTGAAATGGTGCTATTTATCATAGGCTTACTCATATGCCAAATCCTTAAAATAAAAATTCAATAACTAATAACTTATATCATTAAACACTAACCAACAACCAAAACAATACACATTTTTAATACAACATAGATAATTTACACATTGACTGTTTACAATTAACAAATGTTCTTCTCACTATTAATGTTTGCTTCGCAACAGGAAAATCTGTTTCATAATCGTTGAAATAGATTTATAATAAATAATCTATATAAATAAAATTAGAGTTTTGTCTGTACATTGCTCAAAATCATAAACTTTTAGGTTATTTTTACGTTTTATACATTAAAGAAACCGAAACAAGTCTCATCTAAATTTCTGTCTCTCTTCCAGTCTGTTACGGCCCAAGAGCCATTTTACGCGGCCTTCTCCTGAAAAACGAGAGTACCTATCAAGTTCCAAATAATTTTAATGTATTCACTGGATTGGCGAGATTGTCTTTAGCCATTAAAATATGGCGTCACTACTTTGTAAATAAAATGACGGACGTTTAAAAACCCAATTTTGTGCGATTTTTTTTAAAGTTTCCTCCTTTTTCCCAATGTTTATCACGTATTCATCTATGAAATAACAAACAGCTGTTCGAATCAAGATTATTTCTTCTAGCTGTCACTGATATGTTTACATTGAATGTTGTGTACACCACTGAGCTATAATTCTAACTGGAACTCACTGAATGTCAAAGATGCGTGTCGCCAGCCGCCATGTTTGCGTGAGGTGTGAGTTATAAGAAGCCATCTTATTGGTTAAGAAAACTCACTGCTATACCAACCTAGTTATAGAAGCCATGCTATTGGTTAAAAAAACTCACTGCTATACCAACCTAACAAAATCAGCGACACGCTCTTGACAGACTTCTGCCATGGCAGTGCTACCTCCAGTTATAATTTTAGCTCAGTGACAAATACCGTAACCAATTCCGATCACGTTTTGAAAGCAAATCCAAACCAAGTAAGATTAAAAACGTTTTTCCTTACATAACTGATTTAATTAATCGCAAGTGCAATAATTTGTAGGGTAACCGTAAATAAAAATAGAGATTCTTTGTGTATAAAATTGTTCTTGAGTATTGATAACCGGGAAAAAGACCTTGAATCAGTGTTGTATATGGCTGGGAAACTAACATTTTTCAAATGAGCGTTTTCAGTCGTGACTCGGCACACGACCGACGCGTCTACATATCCATTGCAAAAATAAAAGTAGGCCTACCGTGTATTTATGTTTTATTCGTCATGTGTCTAAGTGTATAGTTCGTGTATGTGTTTCAAAAACTCCAAGACGCACCTAATGGGGAAGCTCAAGAACTTATATTAGGACTGATGATGGATTTAATTTCGCCGGAATGCATCTCCTGTAATAGGATACATTAGGATCGACCGGCGGACACAGGTAATTTAACCTTTTATTGATTGTCATACCGATCCGGAACAACAACAAACAACATTAAATGAAGTTATGTATAATAGTTTGGCCAGCATATCTAAAAATATGCAAACCAACTGCTGTTCTTTATATATGGTTTCAACTGAATAGGCTACTATAAGATCCCGTGCGTAGAACGGGTACACAGCTAGTCTATCATAAAGTTAAGGATTAAATAAACCTACCACATAGTTGTTTTTTTTTTTTTATCAGCTGTTTTGAAATTGTGAAATAGGATTTGACAGTTTTGGTTGTTTACATTTAAATGTCAAAGCAAATGTAAACATTGTGAATTTTCTCATGCTTCCATGGAGACCAACTATTAATATTTAATTTCTGACAACAGCTGGAGTTTCAAAACAATTTTTGTTCCCCATGTTAATCTTATGGAGAAATACGAAACTTTAAAGGGCCCCAGCGTCTCACCCTTTAATTATTTCCCTAAAAAGAAAGTTTCCTGCACAAATTCACGTTACGCTCTTTCCAATGACACCAAAAACATGTCAATCCCTATATTTCCATAGTTTGCAAATCGGCTCTTCCAATGATTAATAAGAAATGCAGCACAGTCTTAATTCAGTTTTCTTTTTAGTATACCAATTTATCCAGGCTCTCTCCCTTTTTTCCATTGTAATATTTACGCCATTATTTACGCCAACCCAATTCAACCAAGTAAGTAAATGTTTGTAGCAAAGTAACTAACTGTTAAAATTAGCAAACTTATTGACTGTTTACAATCAACATATGTTCTTCTTCTCACTTTTAATTTCTGACAACAGCTGGAGTTTCATAACAATGTTTGTTTCCCATGTTAATCTTATGGAGAAATACGAAACTTCAAAGGGCCCCAGGGCCTCACTCTCTAATTATTTCCTTAAAAAGAAAGTTTCTTGCACAACTTCACGTTACACTCTTTCCAATGACACCAAAAACATGTAAATCGATTCAGTAGTTTCGGAGGAGTAATTGTCACAAAAAACCTGCTTGCGTATTAAATAAGTAATAGATATAGATATAGATTTATTTTATAAGAAAATAACAAATAAGTTTTAAGTAGCCTATAGGATTTATGAACAAAATCTCCCTTCGCAGAGTAAAGCCAAGGGAGCAAGGCATTGAGAGGCCTTGTTTGTGCTTGGCAGACCACTTAATTCTCCTGGGAGAACAGTAAGCCGTGCTGCTAAAATCATCTGTTAATGTCTGTTGTTTTAAACTTTCAGTGTAACACAATTGGATGAAAACCATCAGCTGTTTTCATCAAAAGCTGCAATTAGTAGCAATAGAAGTAAATATTATAATTAACTTGTTCAGCAAATATTCTACCGTCAAGTATGTGAAGGGTTAAATGCTCATCAACCTCCCTTATAGCTTATAACAAACAACTTTTTAAAGTGATGTTTATACCTACAGTCATATAGCTGTAAGGCTTTAGCTCTCATGTCGATATGAATCCTTTCTGAGCCTCAAAACAGCGACCATGTTTGATTTCTTAAAGATAACAGGATTTACTGTTGGAGTGTTATTTATGATTTCTGAACAAAAAATCCATGTTTGCTACTTTCCCATCCAAAAGAATGGTGGTTTCAACTTCCAACTCATAAATAATAAATGCCCGGGAGAATTCTAATGGTGGATTTGCTATCTGATAAACTAAGTGTGAGGTTCGGATCTTGTCATGGAGGTAAAGATTTTGGTTACTGTTTTAGGTTGATATTTGGGAAGCTCTTCAGGTCCAAAGGCCAAGTACTCCTGGATATATTCCTGAGGATGAGGAAAAAGCTTTACAGAGGTAGAGTATATCCTTATTTGCCTTTAAATTATATTTAGTTGCAAGAATATGGATAAAACATAACACACCTCTGGTAGTGTTAACTCAAAATATTTGTGTCTACTACCTCTGACTTTATGTATTGTACAGTATACAATGCATTCCAAGCAGTCATGGTAAAAAAATACTATCAGTATTATACTTCAATACATTTTTCGGGAAACTAACTGATATAAATTTTGTTTCAACTCACTTAGGAAAAATACTTGTTAATCAATTCAATCAAACTTCAATCAACTTCAATGCAAACTTTCTAACATATAATCTCAATAACGGCTGAACATATATTAGCCAAACTTACCAAGATTGTTTTGTGAAATGTTTGGATAGTTTAGACGAAACCAATTTAAATTTTTGATAATGCCTATTTAATTTAAAAGTAACTCAAAGTTTATACATTTTAACATTGGCCTTATGGGTTGCCATGATGGTTACATAATTACTACGTAAATGTAAACAAAACAAAGAATCATAGCATATGCTAAAATCAAGCCACGATCTAAACACAGTACAAAGGAAAAAATTTGGATAATGACCACTGATCAAATAATAAAGAGAAAGTCTTAAGTTTACATTTAAGTCGCAATTTGGAAACGACCAGTGATCGAATAGGTACAGTCATAGATCAAACATAATCCCTTAGTAGATTTCTCATCCTTATGGAACAGCTGAAGCCATTTTTATTGTTAGTTCTGTCCAGTCTACTGTAGAGGTTGTGTTTTGTTTACAATTTGTTTCTTGTTATTTCAGTCATTTAAAACCCCATTTAACCCATTAAGGAAGGAATTAATGGGCTGCCTGCAGTACCCTTGGTCAGCAATTAATTTACCGAATTTGTAGACTTTTACTCTAATTGTTATAGAAAGAAAACCTTAAGTGATAAACTAATAATTCTTTCACAATTTTGTTCACAGTAAAATTGTCTACAATAAAAGTGCTAATTGGATAATCAAAGTATAAAATTAAAACATTAAAATTTTAAAAAATAAAATTTTAAAAATAATTTTTTCAAAGTAAACTTAATTTACAAATTTCAAGATTAATCCAGACACCAAATGACACTATTATCATAAAGTTCAATTGGTTCCCTACGTAGAAATATCACAAGTTGTTTACTTTTATAAGTAATAACATAGAAAAAATTGTCTTAGACCTTACCGTAGGTAATTTTGGGGATAGCCTACATGAAGGAGTTAGAGTAGGCCTAGAACTTCCCTCATTGTTTGAAGATACACCAACATCCTCAATCCAATCATCAGTAATTTGAAAATCAAATTCATCACCACTAGGCCTACTTTCATTGTCATTTGTATCCAACGGTAGTAAATCGGTGTAGTGTTTTTGCGATTTTGTCTTCCTCACTAACATCACTATCACAACCAAGTGCATCATCACTGTTCAGGAACGACCAGTTTCAGAAGTATGCAAATTATCCTCACTTATAATTATCTATAATTACTTCACACAATAAAAACAACAACAAAGTAAACAAGTTACACAACGCTGATAGCTAAATAAGGTTAGTCAGCTGGCGAGCAAAACAATCATAAATCTAGCTGATAACATAACCAAAGTTTGGATATAATCAGGTTAGCCAACGTCTAAAACTGAAAAATATGTAGTTGTGTCGTGAATAAGTCCCGAGAAATCACTCCAACACTATTTGTTGGATTTTTTCGGAAATAAGTGAACAGAACCATAGACAGAACGTTGTCAAATATAGACAACGTAACCAGCGCGTGAGTCGGTGCTCAGTCCAGCGCAGCCACCACGTAACCAGCACGTGAGTCAGCGCCAATGGGTTAACCAAATAAAATGATCTAATCATAAACAATAACTCGTCCTCTAGCTATATAACCAAACAGTAAGGCACAAATCAAAAATTTAACTCTAAAATAATAGAAACAAAATGTCGTCAACACTAGCAGTCAGTGTCACCGGACATGAACTAGACACGAAAAACGAGCTTCAAAATTTACAATGGGATGGGAAGTCAACTTGTATGGTTAGTCTATGATAAAACATAATCCATTAGGTACAGTATTTTACAGTTTTGATTTACATAGCTAAATAAGGTTATAAAATACCCCCGCCACAGCAAACCTGCCGACTAAGCGAATTTCTATTTGTCTGAATTGATTTTCAATTAAATCTATTTAAATAACATCTAGGTTTAACGAGTACTTAGGTTTGCTGCTACAAGGAAACTAATTAAGTGTATTTTTTAGTAAAATATTAATAGCTTAGTATAAAATAAATGAATTTGCCAAGTATGATCAAAATATATCCATAAACAAGCAAACTACAACATTTGACAATATTCTCCATAAGAATAACATGGGAATTTTAAATTTACAATAACCGTACAAAAACACTTTGATATACAAAATTATTTGTTTTTTTAAGCTCTTTAAAAAGGTCTAGAGAGAAATTGGAAAATTTTGTGCTTTGAGGGTCAAAAATTAGAAAAACCATTTTTTACCCCATAAAACCCTCAGTAAAACCCCGTTCCCATAGTCTGATCATGCTGGTTCGCGAACTCATTCAAGTTTACACCTACCAAATTTAATCAAAATCGGACAAAAATTACTCAAGTTAATGAGTTCACGGATGTATATATATATATACCTATAACATATACATACAAAGTACCTGGGGAACTTTATCGCTATACTCTGAGAGTATTCTTTGGTCAATGTAAATCTATAAAAAAAATCAATTATTTTGTGGTCTATTTCTTTACATCTATTTAACTTCTATTCAAATAATAATATCATAGTTTACTGAAATGATGAGAAAGAAGAGGTTTTAACAATTTGTTTGGTTCCCTTAAAGGGCCCAAACTATAGAAAATACCCAGTATTTTTCATGCTGAATTTGAAAAAGGCTATCAGTAGTAAGAAAATCTTCTCACCTTCCTTCCTTTGAAGTATTAGTCACTGCAAGAACTTTGGCTCGCTCCAAAACTACAACCGGAACCTTTAATTTATACTTAATTTTTAAAATGTAATACGTTACAATTTTCCGGAAACTCAGGACTCTCTCCAAATGAAAACAATTATATTTTTTGATTCAGCAAGAAGAACTCAGTAAGGAGACACATTATAATCCAATTTTTATTAGGTTTGGTTATATTAAACTTTTTCTATAAACAATATTTACAAACAAATGTTGGTTTGACTTTGGTGTTGGCTATTTTAAGACCAAAATTAATCTCTTGACATTTTATAAATCATCATTTAATGTAGGCCTACACTAAAGTATGTACAATGCTGAAGTATATTGATGGATTAGCCTCTAAAGCAAGGGTAGGCATTGGCATTTGTCGGTTTGAGACATTTGTCGACAGGCGACATGCTACGGACACATGCCGATCCAACCTTAAACTAACTTAGCTGTAATTGATAACCTGTCAAATGAATTTGACACACTTAGCTTACCGGTATGGTGTATCCTTAATACTTAATACCTTAATACCATCTCTTCGTTTTTGACCAGGTTTACTGGATTAACTGCGTCAGTTTTCTTAATTTTAAATTAAAATAGCAAAATAAAATGTTCTTGTCAAATTTCAAATAATATTATGTACAAATAACTCACAAACTTGGCGGGTGGAATAGGGGTTTGAGTCAGTTACTCACTAGTTTATCCTCAAGAAAATCCTTGATGGAGAAATAGGCCGACTGAGTAAGTTGGTCTTTCATTTTTCCCTCAAACTTCTTGGTCTCAAGGTTTCTCAAGTCCTCCGGCAGCTTGTTAAACAGCTTCAATGCCATGGCAGGGAAACGGCGTTGTGTGCTTGTTAGGCGTGTTCTCGGTACATCTAACTTGGTAGAGCCACGTGTAGCGTGGTAGTGGACATCGCCTCTGGTTGTAAGCTCGCTCAAATTCTTCTTGACATGTACCAATGAGGATAAAATGTACATCGAATGGACTGTAGGCACGCCTAATCTCCTGAAGATGGGTTTGCTGTGCTCACGCCGGTCACTAGAAGTGATGACTCGCATGGCCGCCTTCTGTAACCTCAGCACTGCCCTACAGCTTGGGGAGTGGCCCCAGAGCAGTATGCCGTAACTCAGATGGCTATGGAAAAGGCCGTAGTAGATGGTCAAGAGATAAGATTCAGTTAGGCTGTTCCTCAATTTGCGAAGTAGAGATACTACCCTTGAGAGCTTTTTTGACATCTCTTCCGTATGGCTCTGCCAGTTAAGCCGTCTATCAATCAAAAATCCAAGAAGTTTTACTTTAGGTACGATGTTCGCAGGCGGAGTTCTACCCAAGGTGCAGATGAGTGTTTGGGTCTTGTTGACATTTAGCTGAAGTCTATTGGTCTTAAACCATTTCTCGGCGGAGGTCAGCTCCAAGGCCATCTTTCTCTCAATTTCCGTCACCGAGCTTCCACCTAATACAAGGGTAGTATCGTCCGCATACATGAGAGCCTCGTCACCACACCCAAAGTCATTCACCATTAGCAAGAACAGGAGAGGTCCAAGTAGCGAGCCCTGCGGGACACCGTGTTCCACCCTGCGTTCTCCCGAAAGAGCCCCGTCAATTGCAACCACCTGTCTTCGATTCTTAAGGTAAGAAGAAAATGTAGCAAGCACAGTACCTTCCACTCCGTAGGCTTCAAGTTTTTCCAGAAGGACTTCGTGTGACACCACATCAAACGCTTTGCTCAGGTCCAGTAGGACTAGGCCTAAGGGCTCTTCATGTTCAAAGGCGTTTGTAATCCTTTCAACCAGTCGTAACACTGCAGTGGTAGTGGAGCGGCCCCTCCTGAAGCCGTGTTGAGAATCTGAGAACAGTGGCGTAACAGAAGGGCCCGCAGGGCCCGCGATGCGGGGGGGCCCGGGAGCTGAGGGGGCCCGCGAACCGGTGAGCAGAGAGGCCCATGAGACGAGTGGGGCCGAAAAATTGGAGTTCATTCTTATTTAAATGTATCATCAATCATTCAATAATTG